TAATAATTTCTGCTCTTCTTCCACTTCCAGCTGCTGGCCTTGTGTCTGTTTGCCCTACTGCATGGATTCCTGTCAGAATGCCAATCACTACTGCCCCAATTGTAGCTCCTACATTGGCACCTACGAGAACTAAGCACGGAAAAAGACAGATAAATTCGCACACATATACATACGCCTATATATATGTATATACGTGTGTAAACTACAATATCTTATTAAGCCTATAGATCTTTACTCTCCGAATAAATTACTATATTAATCATACCTATATTGTTTTCTATACGAGTAGAGCAGGTAAATTATTACGTATACGCCACGTTGTTCTATTTTAATTTCATTCTCAATTGATTTAATGATATATGTATATATTTTTTGTTATGAGCGCTTCTCTTGTTATTCTCAGTTTATAATAAAATAAATAAGTAAATAAAATGCTATAAACGATAATTATCGGTTTTAATTAATCGATTTTTTGTGTTTTTGTTTTTTAGTCTACGGCACATGATATTCTTATCATTTTTCTAGGCAAACAGATTGTTTTATACTTGAAAAAATATACTGGAATGATAAGAAAGTAAATATGTAGGAAATACCTACAGTTGCACAAGCATGATAGACCATGGAATACCCTATATTTTATACACAAATGGGAGATTTACATTTATTTAATCATAAAGGCGTAAAAAGCTAAAAATCAATTTTCGAATGAATTGAAACGAAACATTTACTGCACAAACAGCTTATCTTAGATAACTGAGCAGAAATAAAAGTCTATATTTCATTCAGTAAATTCCTTAATACTCTATCTATACAAATTTAATCTTATTGCCAGTTTATTTGCACTTCTTTGAAATGAGTCAACTCTAAATGCTGTAAATAGCTGAAATGAAAATTGTTTTATAGACCACTTGAGGGCATGAGTCATACATAAATTTTACGATTCGTAACTCTAAAATGGGTTATATATATGATACATATACAGTTATATATGTACATTTCGGCAATGTGCTAAGCTTGGACAGCAAATCAGCTAAGTAATAAAACAAAAACTCCCACTTTTGTTATTTTTTCCAATCTCTCTCTCTCTTTCTCTCGTTCTCTGTAACTGTCATTGTCAGCCTTTTTGTTATCAGTTATGGCCACGCCAGTTTAGATAAGCACATATCGTAGCGAACTGTAGCTTCGGTAGCTTCACTATATATGCCTCAGTTATTGAGATATCATCAAACAGTTCACGTCGACCGTTGAAAAGTTGTTGAGGCCCCAAACATGAATCAAGGATATACGCCCGCCCAGACCTACCAGCCCGGTGCACCACAGGTGATCATACAGACGACGACAACGACAAATGTGGTGCCCATCGGCAGCGAGCCGTCGCGAGTCCAGTGTCCTTCCTGCCACGCTGATATCCTGACAACTGTGAAGCGCACCCCGACCGGACGCACGCACTGCTGGGCCCTGGTCCTGTGCCTTTTATTGTGAGTTGAGCGCACAGCAACTGAATCAAGTTCACTCATCGAATCACTCATGAATCATCGCCGGCGCAATCAGTGAACATGTTTTCAATTGTTTTTGTTCTTTTTTGTTTTTGTTTTTGTTTTTTTTTTTTCTAATTGCATTCTTGTCGCTGATTTCGTTTCTATTTCTCTCGCTCTGCCCTTTGCAGCTGCTGGCCCTGCGTTTGTGTGCCCTACTGCATGGACTCCTGCCAGAACGCGGAGCACTCGTGCCCCAACTGCGGCGCCTACATTGGCACCTACGAGCAATAATGTATTAACTAACTATAAGCAACGATCTGTCTATTTAATATGCTAAGCTAAACGATTTTAAATAAAAGCCACCAACGATCATCATCAAGTGAATCAAGGATATGCGTTTGTTTGATTTTATTTGATACACTCTTTAAAATATACATATATTCAATTTAGATGATTTGTTAATGAGCTAAACTGTAACTAGTTGCAACTTCTTCAACTTTAACTCCATCAGTTGCTTCTCGTTGCACTAACTTGGGCATTCCATGAATGCTTTGCTGAGTCAACTTTGATTATGGAAATAAATAGAGGATAGAATGCAGTCACTTTCCATTAAGTACTTTCAAATTTCTAGTTAACAAATTCCTCAAGTGAGTGCAAGAGAAGCTTATCACAATTGGTATATCATATTGTATTTGTATATATGACATATCTATTGTTTGGCTCTGTCATTATGCCCTATACAGCGATTGTATATAGTTACTGAGTAGCTACAATCTCTTTCCCACTCACGCTCCCTCTCTCTCTCTCTCTCTCTCTCTCCCTCATTCTCACATTTTGCAACTGATACATACAGAGCTTTACCGAAAAATTTCATTGCGTATTATCTAAATACCAAACACCTATGAAAGTGACAATTTCACACTAATTTTTGCCCGTTTGTCATGTTTCGAAGGTAGAACAGGTGTAGCCGCCCCCCTTTTTAACCGTAAAAATCCCCCAATTCCAAGAGCTAAAGTTGTGCTAAATCTAATCTAGTGTCGCCTTAGCAGATAAGTTCGATATCAGTTCGACGCTTTGGCACATTATCAACATTTACTCGCAGCGAGGCTAAATCAGTGAAACAATAAACGCCAAACTAAAAGGTCGAAAGCGCGAATTTCTAAATAAAAAAAATAAAAAAATAATAATAATACATATATAGTAATAATTGGATTAAGATGGAAAAGCAGGATCCGCCACCATACACTGAACAGCCAATGCCACAGCTGCCACCACAACCTCCGCTACCACCGCAACCACTGCAGCCACAGGTGGCTGTGCAGGCACAGGCAACGCCTCAGGCGCAAATCCGTTATGTGCCCGCCCAAACCTATCAGCCGTATCCGGCTGGACCCACACAGCCGCCCTTATATCCGCCCATGCAACAGCCGCCGGGCAGCTCAACAGTCATCATCCACACAACACTACCACAGCGCGTGCCCGTGGGCCGAGATCCAACATTCGTGCGCTGTCCAACGTGCCAGAACGATGTGATAACCCGCATCGACGCTACGCCCACGGGGCGAACGCATCTATGGGCGATGGTTCTATGTCTAATCGGGTGAGTTTGACAGCGCCCATTCAACTGGCATAAGAGAAATGCTTATTGAGCTTGTTACACCTGTGAGCCTATCAACCATTTTTATTTATTTTCAAGCTAATGTTCGCTCTCTCTCTCTCCCTCTCTTCAGCTGCTGGCCCTGCGTCTGTGTGCCCTACTGCATGGACTCCTGCAAGCAGTCGAATCATTATTGCCCCGTCTGCAATGCCTTCATAGGCAGTCGAGCCGCATAGGAACGGAACTGACCTAATCGAGTCACTAAAATAACTTATAACTAAACGGGCTTGGATGACTAATAATAAAACACTGACGCTTGCTAACTGTAAAAAATAAACAGTTTGAGCTGATAAGAATCATATTATCTAAAAATAAATACATTCAACTGCCTATTTAAATCGTGTAGCTAAAAGAAGGCAATAAGCATATTTTATTTAGCCGCCTAAAAGTATGCAATCAACTATTTTACAGCATTTGGTTTATTCTTGACAGCCTTTGCTCATCTGTAATTCAAATGCAAGTTTATCAAAGCACAAATGTTGAAATTTCCACAGTCTTAATTATACAATATCTAAAACTAAGATCCTTATATATTTTGCCATTAAGTAAACTTGATAATTATCAGATAAATACGTGTTCACTCTACTCACCACATATTTGTTTTCTGGGTTATGTTCATAGATCTGCATGGATTTACATTTGGCGGTTTACAATTCCGTTTTGTGCAGCAAACGCTGACATGACAATCTAGTCATCTCGCTCCCACTGGCAGCACCAGGCTTCTGACAGAAGAAGCTCGGTTATTTTTCAGCGTCGCTCATTCCGTTTTTTGTGTTCTTGCGAAGAAGTCGCCGGTCGCTTTAACTGAGCATTGCAAACAAAGTGAATAGAAATACATAAAGTAAATAGAAAGGTAATGAAAGAATGCGCGAGGAGCATAAGTTGATATTTAAAGTGCATAAATGTACGTACATATGGATATGTATGTATGTATGTGCGCACATCATATGTACATACATATGTATGTACTTATAAATATGTACGCTCATACTCTGGCATGTATGGATGCATGTATGGACGTACATATGTATAAGTGTGTATGTGTGCATACATACATATATTACGGTTCTTTCCCGTACTATTTGAGTAAATGCGCAATACCTGCAAATYTGCTGTATGCTGCAATAAATATTAAGACAAGTCTCTTTGTTAGATCATGGAGTACAGCAAATTGCCCCCGCAACCCCCACCGTATTCTCAAGAGCAGTACGGTGCAGGACCAAGTGCTCCACCAACTGAACAGATTCATGCGCCGCTAGCGGCGCAGCCACCACGTCCCGATGTGCACGTGGTACACACAAATAACGTAGTCGTTGACAGCTCTGGCCTGACGACCTGTCCCCGTTGCAACAAACGGATCTTGATACGTATGAAGCATCATGCTACATGCGCAACATACTGCTGGGCAGCAGTGCTCTGTGCCCTATTGTGAGTGTTGAATTGTGAATTTTCTAGGAAAATCTATTTGCCAATTGCGCTTTGTCTCTTTGTCCCTTTGCAGCTGCTGGCCATGCGTCTGCTTGCCCTGCTGCTGCGAGTGGGGCTACCAGACGAGCCCCGTCTGCCCCAAATGCAATGCTCGCTTCTAAAGCGATGACGTCGGCGAGAAGAAACTCGGAGGCTCTCCGATAGCTACAAGCAGAGCTCAGTATCATACATATAAGAAACGTCTTATATACATATTCCTTATACGATTCCGAAAAAGCTCACATCATCACAAATCCATACATATATTTATGTATGTGTGTATGTATGTATAATATATACATTCGACAAGAATCAGATTCCGACACTTGAAGCTTCGCTTCGTTCCATTAGCATAAACAATAGCCATATCTGAATTTAATGTAAACAAACAAATTACTGAAATATTTTACGTATAAGCAACTGTTTACTTGATATACATACATATGTATATTACTTTTGCTCAATAAACCGACTATTGAAAGTTGAAGTTATTAAGTAGCAACTCCGTCTAAAATGTTGCTAAGCGTTTGTTGCAGCAACATACCCGCAACATTGTCGCTAACGGCCATTGCTTTGGCACTGTGCTTTAGGTGCTGTTAACATGGACTGAAATGCGGTTGAAATGGCAGGATCTAGCATCATAAGTAATGTAAACATCTTTAATATATCTATATATATATATATTTGTATATATAGAAAGCTTTGATTTAAGCATATTTTTCAGTTATTATGTCGCTTGCCAACTGCTGCGCATGCAAATGAATACAAGACCACTGTGCACTGCTGCTGGTTAACATGACGACAAACGACTGTCCAGGCGACTTATCTGCGCTGCAAACTTCAAAACGATTTCGTTGCCACAGCGCGTAACAAGTTCGCGAAATTTAAGTTCAAAGTTAGTTTAGAAATAATCAGAAAACTATATAAATATAGGAATATATATACGTAACACATCCGTATATACATATAAGCAATGTGAGTAATACGAGGCTCTAAGCTAATCTAAGTTATTTAGCTAAATTTTTACATATATAAAAATGTATAAATGGAATGAAGATTATTTTTAAACGGGTTGTGTGAGAGTGTGTGTTTGTGTGGGTGTGTGGGTGTGGGTGTGTGTGTGTATGTGTGTGCTGTACATAAATCAACGCCTAACTGCTATGATATATGATATATTTTATATTACAGTAGAATCCAGATATAACGACACTCAAGGGACCGTCGTTATATCCGGAAGGCGCTATAGCCGAATAACTTTGCTCGTAAAAGTTTGTCTGGAGACCTATAAGCGGAGTCGTTATAACCGGATTCTATTGTATATATTATATATTATTTATTATATATCATACAAATATGATAAAATATATGAGATATCGAATTATAGATTAAAGATAGTTAAATTTCAGGAGCAACCATCATCTAAACAATACATGGCCTGCCAAATCTAGATATGATATATGAGCCAGTATTAAGCAGTCCGTTATGCTACAACATTGTTTACTCTCTCATATAGTTAACGAAACGCGCCCAAAAACAACGAAGGACACGCCCTTGTCCAGTTGAGGAGGGTGGCCATGTTGTGAGGGGCTTGTTGTCAGGGTTAGGTAGAATGAAGTGTTAAGTTTATGTACAGGCGCTCTGCTTGTATCCTATGGGGTATTCTCGGCTTTTGGGCAGCTCCAGTGAATGACGACATCGTTACACTTTCGCTGACATCACTCCGATGGGATGGCGCTTTGGGCTAATTTGCCTGCTGCATGCCAGACCAATTAGCCGTTATCAGATTAGCTCAGATTAGCCATTCGAAGTCATGTGAGAGTGCACTTGTTTTTCCAAAATGGGTTTTCCAGATGTCAAAGCAGCGATTGCAATTGAAATTGTCAATGCACGCGACTGGCCGTGGGTCAAGGTCAACGCCAACTCCAAAATCAATAACTCCACGGCCCCCTCTCATTTATTGTATATGTTTCTATATAGCAACATGTCCACACCTGTCGGACCGGAGCCAAGCAGCTTAATCTGCCCCAATTGCCATCAACAGGTGACCACGCGCACCGAGCCCAAGGCCACAAGCAAAACTCATTTATTGGCCCTCATACTGTCCGCGCTCTGGTAAGACATCAATGAAACCAACTATATATATAGTTGGACTAACTAGCTAACTAACTACCATTTAATTTGTGTTGCTTTGATTGCAGCTTGTGGCCCTGCGCCATCGCCTTGTACTGCACGAAGTGTGCGCGCAGCACGGATCACTTCTGCCCCTCGTGCAACAACTACGTTGGCACCTACGTGCGTTGACATGATTTCAGATAGTTCGGCGCTATATAGTATATCCACATATATACACACATATAGTATATACATATGCCATATGTATATATATTGTTGCACTGCTGCGGGCTTTTACTACAAGCAAAAGGTTTTTCTCTATTTTCTCATAATGCAGCTGCAAAAGTAACTGTTTTTACAGTCAAGCTTCGCTTAAATGCACATTTTAGGTATCCTCTATTTGCTATACCAAATATACCTCTAATTCAAATGTTAACTAATATAAATCGCATTTTTGTAAAGAGTTTGCATGGAACAGTTTTAACATATATAAAAGTATATAAAATAAAATATAAATAAGCGCCTTGAGCTTTTTTATAAATATGAAAAAAGCATACACTAAGGCTAAAA